CTTGGCCGAGAAGCACATGCAGGAGGAGCAGGAGAGGGGCGGCACACGGGAGGGAAAGTCAGCCTTGCCACCCTTGCGGGAAGATGTAGCCTCTGGCAGTACCCTGCTGGAGAAACCTGTGCTCACTGCTGAGGCAGGCCTCCCGCCATGTCTTACCGAGCAGCTTCCTACAGGGTCCTGCCAGAAGGAGGAAGGAGAAACCTCAGACCCTGGGCACCAAAAACCGAAGAGAAAACGTGCACCACAGTCTTTGGCCTCAAAGGGCAAAGCTGATCGCAAAGGAAATGGGAAGCCGTCAGGGGTGAAAGTTCTTTCAAGTCCCCCACTGGCCCCAAAACGCAAGGCCTCGGAGCTGCATGCTGAAGGTGAAGTTGTGGCAGCTGGGGAGCTGCTGAGCTCCACCAGTACCCTGCAAGGACCCCCGGCCAAAAAAGCAGCCCTGACTACTGTTGCCCCCTTCTTGGAGCACAGACCAGTCCCAGAGCCTGAGATGGAAAAACCTAGAGACAGTTTGGAGCTCTCCCCGAGACAGTCCTCTCCACACCTGCCATCCCTCAGAGGATTTGGCCCGTACTCGTTCCAAATGGCCACAGACTCTTGCAAAGCCAGCTCGGCCTCCATGGGAGAAGTCCGGCTTTGCAAGGAGGACGATTTTGAGGAACTATTATTGGAAATTTCAGGGGACAAATTAGAAGATGCGATTGACCTAGACCTTGAGAAAGACGAAAGTGAACTTTTGATTGAACTCTTTGAACTGATTGATAACTAAAGGTGGTAGTGAGAAAGAATGCTTTTAAAAAGAACTCACCAGAGGACTAGGGAGATAGCTCAGTAGAATAAGCGCTTGCCTGGCAAGCTCAAGGACCTGAGTTCAATCCCGGGTTCCGCCAAAGCAAAAACAAAAAGAAAAACAAAAACAAAAACAAAAACCAAACATAAAACTCACCATAGAATACTTAGTTTTATGTCTTTTATCACATGTCTGAGAGGATTATTTTTATGTTCTTCTGTTTGCCCCAAGTAAGAAATATAATTCCCAATTCCCTATGTGGTTTCATTGCTGGCATTTTTCAAGTCCCTTGTTCACCATTTTGTCCACCGTTCCATGACATAGTTGAGCATTTTTGAGGAAAAGAAAAGTTCCATCCACAAAGCAAACAGACTGTGAGGGAAATGTGAGGTGAAAGGATGGGAAAAACGGATTTCTTGAGGTGTGTACACAGACAGCTGCTATGGTTGTGGATTGAATTTCATGCTACTGTCAAACAGAAAACCCCAGCCAGTCTGTGCTAAGCCCTATGTCTTTGGAGATTTCAAGTAAACTTTATGTGTTTATTTATGCATTTATTTATTTTGCTGTACTTCAAGGGAGGCGTCTACAGGGTGTTCATGGTCTTACTACTAGATCGGACTCGTAGTGATTCTCCTGTTTACAGCCTCTCTAGGCCTGGGATTAGAGGCTCCCACCACCACGCCCAGTCTCAATCGCCATCTCAGGGTGCCCTGGCGGCAGGGCCAGCAGGGCAGTCTTGGGAATGGAACCCCTGGCCCCTCACCTGCTTGCAGGTGCTTTAGTCCACTGAGCTATGTGGTTGGCTCTTCAGGGAAACTTTTATCATTATTATTATTATTATTATTAGTATTTTTTCTTTTTTTTTGGCGGAACCAGGGATTGAACTTAGGCCCTTGCACTTGCCAGGGAAGCGCTTATTCCACTGAGCCATCTCCCCAGCCCCTCTTTAGGGAAACTTTAAACCGGCCTGACGAAACCTAAGCATGCACAGAGTCCTTTGAGCCTGAATCTGACGCTCTGGCTTCTGCAAAAAGCTCTAGTGAACCTCTTATCACTGCACTCTCCAGTGCCTCAGAGGGCCCCTGAACGTGATGTTCCACTTCTGAGCTTCCCTGGATTAGAAGAGTTCTTCTTTTCTTCAGGATTTCAATGCTACTGCAGTTAAATTATCAGAGAGAGAAAAAGTGATCAATTTTCTTGTCCAACTCTGCTGGCGAGCTCCTCTTGCCCAAGTCTGTATTGCATGTATTTTAACTACCTCAAAGGAAGAAAGAGGAACTGACTGTAGCTGCAGCTATTTATTGTGGACCACAGCAGTACACTGCATATTGCCGTCACATGGACCTGGAGACATTATGTGTGTCTACTGTATACCTTCCAGCTTTTTTCACTTTTTTCAAGATGTTGATCTCTCTTTCACCTCAAGGCTTAGCCTTGGAAAGAATCAAGTGCAATGAGGATCATAGTTTTCAGTGGAGGCAGCGACCATAACCAAGAGGAGGAAAGCAGAACTTTTCCATTTGATACTTGGTGTAGGTCGCTGGTGTTGTTTCTCCTAGGGAAACCGAACCACTTGTCACCTTGGCTCCCAGGGAATGGTTGTTCTATGTGGCCCATCAGGAGTGGAACTGAACGTAGCCATTTTGGGCTGTGTAGCCTTTGCCTTTGAAAAAGGAAGAAAGTCACAAGAGTGCCCATTGAGCCTTGGCAAGAACTGGGTCATTCTGCACAAGCCACGCTGACTCAAAATTAACGTGTAATGTGTAGACCAACCTGTACCCTTCGTCATCACTTGAGTGTTGCATGGTCACCCTTCTCCAAAGCAGGGGTGGATGTTCTGGTTTACCTACAGTAGAGATTGTAGGAACTCATTTCATTATTGGAAAGCACTAACATGTTCCAGGTCACTTTTGTATATAGCCATTACTATTTTGGTTCTTCAGTGAAGCAATTTGTTTCACATGTAAAATACATGATTTAGTCAGTGATGCATAGTGAGCGTTATTTGAACCATTGGTCTTTACAGAAAGAGAAATCCGTATTTGTGTTTGAAAGCAAAGTGATGTAGGAATATAAAATATATATGATGATGATAGGTTCAGGCAACTCGATACTGGTTAGCTTTACAGTGAAAGGTTTAGTTGAACCAGTAGAGCTCTCTTTTGTGAGAGTCGGGGACACATTCGTGTCTATGGTGGGCATTGCAGTTGTTTACTTATGTTGAACACTATAGGATGATGATGTTATGCTTCCATGACTAACTAGTGTGTGCTCCCCATCATTTGGGGTAGATGAGAATACTGGGGCCATGTAATAATTTGATTTACTGTCCAAGCACATGACGAGCATTCCCACCAGTCTTGCTATTGCACGGGCTAAAAGTCCAATGAGGAAGGTTCTCTACAAAGATCGTTCATTGTATACAGTTTGTGTCACCTAAAAGGAAAATGGTGAGAAGGAAATCAAATATTTTCATAAAGATCAGTCATTGTCATTTGTTTGGAATTTTAATTGCATATTACTTGTATGTAAATGTTATTTACGTTAAGGTATAATTTTCTTCATCCAATAATTACATCAATTTATTGTGTGTTATCACTTCATGATAAAGACTAAGTTAAATTTCCCTCTTTTCATTCTGAGTGAAGATTGCTCTTGTGCAGTTGCAGCCTCTAGAATAGAAAGACATGTTTCCAGCAATCACCTTTCCCATGATTATGTTTGTATTTCTTAAGTAATGTTGTAGAAACTTGTTTAAATTCCCAAATCCCCAGAAAATATCAGCACACAGGCAATTCTTTGACTGCATATTACAAAGATGGAACTCCATGAATTGACAGTTGGAATTTCTTCCTTTCCAGCCTGCTTGTATAAATAGGCTTCTTGAAAACCTTCCTAGGTTTGCATTCTAATGGTTACCCTGTTCTGACTCTGTAATTGAAGATGAGGCTTTGGTCAGTCTTCAACTCAAATTAGTGTTTGCTGGTAGGAAATTTTTTAGATCATACAAAAGATCACCTTCTATAACCTATCAGCTATTTCTGCTTCACAAATTGCTTACTTTCTTTGGATGCTGTTCTCACCTGTCAAATGCCAGTAAATGAGAATGCTTGACTTAAAGTAGAAAACATAATATGGTGGAAATGGCTTTGAACCTACAGAGTACTACGCAGGTGAGAATTAGAATAGGTGACTGTTGGATGACACTGAGTGTGAAACTATAAACAAGTTAGTTTCAACGTAGCTTTGGCACTTAGAATGTGGCCTTGGGAAAATTAACGCAATTTGTAACCTGTCTTACGGGATTGTTTTGGACCGTAAGTGAGGTAGTGTGTTTGAGTTCTTATTTTATTACCTGGGATTAGTAAATTCTTAAAAGTACTTATCTTCTTTTGATACTGATAGTTATTATAGTGTGGCAACAGAATTGCTATTATTTAATGCCCATGTACCTTCAGAGCAGGAAAATAAGTATTTCATATGGAGAGTTCTTTGGTTTCTCTCAAAAATGAGATGTAGTAAGTTTTTAACTTGCCTCATAGTAATCCTGGCTTGGCTGTTAATGTGTTAATGGTGACTTATCTGAAATGCTGAGACACAGAAGTATTTCAGATACTGGATATTTTTCCTATTTCATGATACTCATATGTATGTGATGAGATATCTGGTGATGAGTCCCACACCTAACCATGACATTCACTTTTGTTTGTTACATACATGGCCTGAAGGTGATTTCATGCCATTTGTTACTGCACCTGGTTTTCTGAGTAACTACAGAAGAACACATGTGCAATTCCCCTCCTTTGGTACCGTGCGCCTGCACGAATTTTGGTTTTTGAGCATTTGTGATTAAATTGTAGAACCACTGTCTCCCAGTGGTGTGGAGGTGAGAAACAGTGGCTTGGGACAGAGAAGGCTCTACAAGGACTGGGAGGACCCAAGTGTTGATGGGACTGAGCAGCCTCAGGCTATCATTTGTCTGGGAGCACTGCTGCAAGTGGGGCATGAGGCAGAAATACTCAGGATAAGGAGATGTGGGTGGGTTGCTGAGGGTCAGACAGAACGTTGCTGAATGAAGCCTGGTCCCATACCCCACGTCCAGAAGCTAAAACCAGTCTTGCCACCAGCACTAATGCCAGGGCAGACCCAGTGGTGTTGAGCAGGATGGATTTGAGCTGTGACTTGGACACTATGATAGAAATGAAGGCACCAGAGGAATTTCATTATCTTGTTGTTTGTTCTGTTTTGTTTTGTTCTACTTTTGCTGTATTTTTATAGTTGTCTTGGCTTCACTTTTACTGCTTCTTTTGTATCGTTCATTGTTTTTCTTTCTTTCCTCCACTTAATTTCTTCCTTTTTTGATATTTTTAGGTGAGTAAACATTGTTCCTGGTATCTCTGCTTTTTCTGTGGATACTTTTGTTTCTCTTTCACTGTTTTTCCCGTCATCTTCAGCAGGAATTTCCTAAGGGAATCTCAATACTAGTGTTAAAGCTACCTACCAAAAGCAATGTATAAGCATCAGCACAGAAAAACAATTAATTTTGTTTTATGTTCTTTTTGTTGTTGTTTCGTTTTTTTTTTTTTTTTTTTTTTTTTTTTTTTTTTTTTTTTTTTTTGCTTTAGGGAAGGTTCTACTTGTGTTCAGGGTCTCACTACTAGATTGGACTCATAGTGATCTGCCTGTATCCAGTCTCCCAAAAGCTGGTATTAGAGGTGCGTGCCACCACACTCAGTCTGCATTGCCATCTTAGCTCACCCTGCGGGCGGGACCGATGTGGCAGGTTGAGGATTTAACCTCTGGCACCTGAGCTTGCTTATAGGCACTTAAATATGCTGAGCTCTATGGCCGCCCATTTCTACTTTAATTTTTGAGAACGATTAAAAATGGCCTGGGAGACTAAATCAAGATCCAACAATATGGTGTGTAGAAGAAATACATTTAACTCAAAAAGAAGTTCATAGAGAGCAATTAGG